CAATACGATACGACGCTCGACAATGCGAAGTGACACTCGACATCGCGAAGCGACATTTTTAAAATGTCGAGTAAATGTCGCGTTATTTTTATGATTTTTACACCGCGACGCTCAACATTGCGAAGCGACACTCGACAATGCGAAGCGACACTCGACAACGCGAAGCGATACTCGACAACGCGAAGCGACACTCGACAATGCGAAGCGACATTTGGAATAATATCGTATCGCATTGTCGTGCGTCTACCGGTGCTTGGTCAGAATTTTACTAACTCACCGACAAACGGTGCGATCATGGAAGGGGTCGCACTAAACTGCTGACGAATTAGCTGACGATATAGATATATAGGAAACTGCTGACCAGTTAAATAAAGAAGGATTATCGGAAAATGCTGACCAGTTACACAAAAAAGGGAAACATTGAAGGTGTGAAGTTATATAAACACGCCGTAGGGGGTAATAAAAAGATGGGAAATTACTTTTATTCTTTTAATTATATTTTTTAATTTTTTGCATTTATATGACTATGTTTATAAACTAAATTAATATATACATTTAAAGTACCATAATATCATACATTTTAAACACGGATTTACATTACTACATGTAATATAAATCCGTGATTTTAAAAGGATATATTAAACAGCTTTTTATACCTCTAAAGATATACAAAAAATTTGAATTAATGTTTTATAAAGAATTATGATGTTATGAGTTTTATCAAAATCTCTTGTTAGTGATATTTCAATAGAAAATCTTGTAACGGAAAAAAAATGTATTTTCAAAAGCAATAATTGCAATTTGAATTAATATCAAATAAGTCAGCAGTGTTTTAACTTAATTAAATGTCGACAAAATTTTATACAATATATTGAATTTCGTACATTATAAAAATGAATTAAAATTTCACGACAAAATATATTTTTTTCTATATTTCTAACTGGTCAGCAGTTTCCCTATATATCTAACTGGTCAGCAGATTCTACTACATGTGTATATGTTTAACTGGTCAGCATTTTTCTCGCCTGAATGTAAAGAGCGTTAAATTTGCTAAACCATATAGAATAAGAAGAGTTTTACGGCTTAAATCAATTTGAAATAACATTAAATTGGTCAGCAGTGTTTTTACTTAATTAAATGTCGACATAATTTTATAAAATAAATTGAATTTGCATACATAATTAAAATGAATTACAATTTCACGGCAAAATATATTTTTCTCTATATATCTAACTGGTCAGCAGTTTCCCTATATATCTAACTGGTCAGCAGGTTCTACTATATGTTTAACTGGTCAGCATTTTCTCGCCTGAATGTAAAGAGCGTTAAATTTGCTGACCATATAGAATAAGAGAGTTTTACGGCTTAAATCAATTTGAATTAACATTAAATTGGTCAGCAGTGTTTTTACTTAATTAAATGTCGACATTATTTTATAAAATATATTAAATTTGCATAATGAGTAACAATTTCGTAGCATTTAAATATATTTTTCTCTATATATCTAACTGGTCAGCAGATTCTACAATATGGTCAGCATTTTAATAACATATTTTTGACTGTTTATTGTATTTTGTCATAGATAAATCAAGAATGACACGTCGCGTGTGAAATCGATTTTAATATGACCTTGGGGCATATCGATCTCGATAAATTATCAGTTTAATGGATATCTGTGGAAACATGTTGTTTATAATGTAATAAAAGCTTATTAACTATAACAATTAGCACATTATTAATTTTTGTTCAACATTACTTATACAATTATACGAACAACAAATAAGGAAACAGAAATCACTTTATTTCATATTTGCACTAAATACGACATAATAATTATATTTTGTTAAAATATACATTACGTATATGTACATGTATATATTTTAACCTATGATGCATAGTTTTATACATACTTGAAACAAATTATGATTTTTCGTACATCATATTTTTGACTACATTTTTAAAATTTAACCAATATATAACACATAGAAGAAAATTCATTAAGGTACTTAAATAAAATATTATATCAAAATAAATTGAGAAATATACAGTATATATCAATTGAATTTTTTATAATTAATATGTATCATTTGTAATATTGACATCTTGAAAAAACATTTTATCAAGTATTTTCTCGACCTCGACTGTAATATCACCAACGGCAATTTGACACCTTCATTGTTTTCCCTTCTTTATCTAACTGGTCAGCAGTTTTCGATAATCCTTCTTTGTTTAACTGGTCAGCAGTTTCCTATATATTCTATATCGTCAGCTAATTCGTCAGCAGTTTAGTGCGACCCCTTCCATGATCGCACCGTTTGTCGGTGAGTAAGTAAATTCTGACCAAGCACCGGTAGACGCACGACAATGCGATACGATATTATTCCAAATGTCGCTTCGCATTGTCGAGTGTCGCTTCGCGTTGTCGAGTATCGCTTCGCGTTGTCGAGTGTCGCTTCGCATTGTCGAGTGTCGCTTCGCAATGTTGAGCGTCGCGGTGTAAAAATCATAAAAATAACGCGACATTTACTCGACATTTTAAAAATGTCGCTTCGCGATGTCGAGTGTCACTTCGCATTGTCGAGCGTCGTATCGCATTGTCGCGTTGTCGTTTCGCATTGTCGAGTGTCGTGGTATGCACTTCTACCAACCTCGACACTCGACAATGTGAAGTGACAATGCGACAACGCGAAGTGACATCGCGACAACGCGAAGTGACATCGCGACAACGCGAAGCGACGCTCGACAATGCGAAGCGACACTCGACAACGCGAAGCGACATTTCTTAAATGTCGCCCTTTTTTACCGCGACATTTCTAGGCGACAGTGCGACATATCGTTTGACACTGTCGAGCGTCGCTTCGCATTGTCGCATATCGCTTCGCGTTGTCGAGCGTCGCTTCGCATTGTCGCGATGTCACTTCGCATTGTCGTGTGTCTACCCTTAGACGCGACGGACGACATTCTAAATGGCACGATAAGGACACCGTAATATGGTATTAAGTTAAATTTTACTTACGCACAGTAAAATCGCCGCTGTTGTGGAAGCTCACGCATGTTGTAACGGAGGTACCGTTTTGTCCGCTGGCGCATTTGCACAAAACTTCCATAGTCCAAAATAACCAGACCTAGTTACACCTTGCACGGTTAAAGATAAATAAAACCAATATGGAATTGCTACTCATATAATTTTTGAGATTGATAGAGTGAGTCCTATTTTGTCAAACAACATTTTTGTCTCGTTTTAAATCACTTAAATGTTAAAGTATCCCAACGACCAACTAGATATATACAGGATCTATCAGCGCACGTACACTACTTGATTAGTCCATGTTGAGATTATCTGCTAAAATACGGTTATCAAACATAAACGATGTTGTTTCTTTGTACTGTTTACAATATTTTTTTACTCATGTAAATTACATTGAAAGTAAATCATTTCATAAATAAATGTGAAAGCTGTGTTTGTCTAAAAACGTTTGAGAATCAACATACCTCCTGCATCCCCTAAAGTGTAATGATAGTTGGTGACACCATTAATTTTATTTTCGAAAAAAAAAATGCACCTGCTGAGTTACGCCATGTCGCACAGGTCTTCGTACATTCACATTTTCGGATCATAAAATAAAAGGCGGCCATACAACACACTAAATATGTGCCAGCGTGTGTGTATGTGTGTGCTTTTTTTAAAGTATCCATATTTTTACAAAAAAAAAAGGAATTCACGGGGAGGGGATGCAGGGTCAGGTGGATCCCATATGGATCTCAAAATTGATCCAGATGTGCACTGTAACACCATAAGTGAAAGGGAAGATAGGTCAGTCACAGTATACTGTAATTTTTTAACTATTTAAGTATTTATGTAAAGTTCAAAGTCCTTTTGAAGAAAATCGAAATCTAATTCTACTCTCCAGCTCATATTCCTCTATAATTATCCATTTTGGTATCGAATTTTTATGCAGTCTTCGCCGAGATATACTTTCCGTCGTACGTGTGAAGAAGTGCCGTTTACAATTTTACCACCAAACGATGCTTAACATTCAAACAAACCCTTACTGAAATATTAATTCAGATTTGAACAAGGAATCGTCGGTAAAAATTTCATCTTAGCTTCATATGTGCTGGAGAAATCCATGGGCACATGATATCAGGAGAAACAAGTAATAATTGGATAGAGAAGTCACATCCGATTTTGAGATTGAGAAACTCGAAGATGAAGCATTAGACCATGGTATTGATGAAGGAAAGGACACTTCCGGTGGCAGAGAACTGGAACAGGAAGTGGGAGAAGCAATAGAAGGCAAGGGAGAGAAAAACAAAAGGAAGGATTATATTATATTCATAATAGCGACAGGGCGACAAGACGAAAGTCCAACAACGCGCCGTTTGGCGCTTTGTCGGGTTGTCGCTAGCGTCAAGACGAAAAGGCGAAAACGATATAGGTTGCGTGGTCGCTATCGACAACGCAACGCACAATGTTCCAAATCAGCCACTATCAAATATGTTGTTCAGCGATGTTGCTGACTCTAATATAATCAAAAGAATTTTCAAAATCAAAAAGAATAAAAAATTTAAATTAAGAAAATACTGGGCAGCTCGGACTGATTATTGTTAAATAAATTTTATGTTTAGTGGAAAAAAAACGATTGAGATGAAAAGGAAATCGCACCACTGAATTTTGATGAACATATTCATTATAATCTATTATGTCATCCAATGCTGTATTATTGAATAAGGCTTAATGTGTTGCCTCACTTACTTCGCGAAATATATTGTCTGACTTTTACCATCATGTACAATGTATGCTGTGGCGAAGAAGAGAATGATCGAAAACGTTAAAATGGTGTCCTTGCTTGTCGTGTTGTCTTGTTTATCATTAATAAAATTTTTCAGCATAAGAGACTGGCTGAATGTGTGTATTCATTTATTTTTCATTATTCTTGTCATTATTAAATACACCTTAAAAAACATTCACAACAACAAAATTTGTCGTTTCATTGCAGCACTACGTGACAGCTGTCGGGGACATTATTTCAGTTCCATTGATGCTTGCCGAATATTTCTGTATGGACAAAGACGTTGTCGGTATTAGTGAACTTATTGGTAAGTAAACTTTCTACAATGACATCATACAACACTAACTTTCTACATAGTTTCTACTTATCATTGTGGAATGAAACCGTGAGGCGCGGTGGCCTTGTACAGATGTTATTAGTCCGAGTCCTAATCAGTTCACGAACATGTTTCTTCATATGACACAAATACTGGTTGGTTCAAAGAAGGCGACTTCGCAATCGAGCTTAAAAAATATGTTAAAACCAATAAAACCGGGCAGGCCTCACCGTGAGTTTACCGAGTTAGAACCTCATGTCTTCATTAAACCAACTCAATATCTTTCAAAGAAAGTCATGATTCGTTTCTCGGATGGAAGCTGGTTCTAAAGAACTGCAAAAGTTTAAAGGACAACTTAAATAGACTGATTTGACCTCTATTCTAATTAAAAATTCGTGAAGTTAAATTCGTTAATTAATAAAGATAAAATGATAATTCGTACAAATAAAATTATGAATTTGTAAAGCTTATATCATGAATTTATATAGTTAAAATAATGAATTCAAGCTGTTAATAAATTTATGAAGTTAAAATTCCTTACAAGTCTTTCGTATTTATGAGAATATGTGCAAATTCATTATATTTGTCTTACTGTTTTCTGATAATAGGATTATAATGTTTATCTGTATTTTCAAAAATGTTTTGTTTTTCTTTTATTCATAATCATTTTAATTCTTTTAAGGGACCATCGTGTTTGTCTCTGGTCTGGCTACCTTGCTTCAGAGCACTTTGGGTGTTAGACTACCAATAGTTCAAGGAGGGACTGTTACTTTCGTTATACCAACTATAGCAATTCTTCTTCAACCGCAAGGGAGTGTGAGTACGTAACAGCTAGGAACCAGTATGGACCAAATCTAAATTTAACTCAACTTGGGTTGCTGGAAATAGGAAGTGAAAAACACCGTGAAATGTGGATGTTGCGGATACGTGAAATACAAGGAGCTATAATTGTGGCCTCGCTGTTCCAAGTGCTAACAGGAATAAGTGGTATACTAACGTACATGTTGAAGTATATAGGCCGTCTTTGCATTGTGCCAATTATAACATAAACAGGTATTTCACTTTTTTCCCGCCGGATCCAAGATGGAT